GTGTTGCTATGTAACGCTAGCGGAGGTAACCGCTGTTACTACTTGGTGACGTCACCGCTGTTGACTTGCGTTGCCTAGCGACCAGGATGCTAGGACTCGGCTAACATCGGCTCGCTTCGGCTTCGCTCGGCGCATCACGGCTGGCGGGGGGGGGGAGGGGCGTCATCCATAGCTCAGCACGTCACACTATATACATAAATATTAATGTTTCCAGTTTTGCAATTATATTTAGAGTGATTACAAAACTGCAACAATTTTGTTCTATGACATATATTGAATTCACAGTAACACTCCACATTTCATATATTGTTCGATTATATCAGACAAATTAATAATTATATGGAACCTGTTAAATACAATATATACTCATAAAATGTCATATCATATACTATATAGTATATACTATACAGTGAGGCAATTTTAGTGAGATAAAAAACACCTGATGATGAGTGTATTTGGACAAAACATGGGGTGAGGAGGAAGGATGACTAGAGAATAAGTTGCATTTAAGAAGGAAATATTTGTGAAATAAGTGGTAACAAAAATCTTTCTCCTTAAACAAATTACATAATTACATTGAAGCATACTAACCCATATTTGTACACGTATGATACATATAGAGTGGACTAGAACACCTGATTTCATACTAATTGCACTTTTCCAGAGTTCTCTAATCTTGCACTTTGTGCAATATAGAAAGCCAAGAAAAAATTTCTTAGCAACTTTGTATATGGCACCTTACAAATGGTAATGATTCATCCATTATTTTCACCAATCAGAATAATGTTGTGTGGAGTATTTTATATAAACTCAGTTACTATAATAAAAAAAGCTGTATATTTTTCCAAACACTGATCATCATGTAAAACCCATGAACCTGTAGTGAATAACACTATAACATCAAATCTCATTAATACTAGTACATAATGCTTGTGACTAGTATTCAGATGGTTCCCACTTCTAAAGTTAGCAGGGATACACACTATCCAGAATGAGATTTTTCATGGTTTTTCTCAGTCCCTCCAAACAAAAAGAACTTCAAGTGGGTCATGGACGTTTTCTTCCACATCCTATGTATTCCATCCATCATTCATTTGTTATCCTAATATTTTACATTTAACAGTATCTTTAAATAATTCACAAACAGAAATAAATAGCACTAGCATAATTTCCTTTTACATATAAATACACTACTGTCTTTAACCGGTTGGCTTGGAAGTACAGAGTTTCAAGATAGTAATCTATAATGCCACATCCTTCATACTGAATTTCATGCAAATCAAGACAATAACTTCCATCACAATAATGTCTACTTAACTTGCTCAAATTCTGAGCAGATATATGCAGGTCAAAGTCATAAAAGAGGTCTAGCAAATTACCTTCAGAACACTAAGTACCTTCATTTAAATTAAAGAAAAAATTGTTAACACCTACTGATCCAATTTTTCTATTGAGATCTAAAAGTAAGTTATTAAACTGCCATATTATCACCTGGGCTGACCAATTAAGAATTACTGGAAACAATATGACCTTGTTAATTTTCATACAAAATTTACTCGTTATAAAATTCCTTTATTTACTCTATATCTTGCCTTCCCAGATACTTACTTTGAGTGAGCATCCAGAAGGAGAGACAAACAATGTTTCTCATCTTCCCCATCAGGACAGTCAAGTTCACCATCACAAACAAAGTCCTGAATTACACATTTTCCTGAGCTGTAAACAATAAAAATTAAATTTATATGATTGTAGAGCTGTTAATTCACTGTGGATAATATTTTCAACCCTTTCTCAACTTTTTTAAACAAAACAGAAAATCAAACTGAACTTCATAGTGTGAAGTTTGTAACTCTGACTCACAGTTCTGTCACATCATATGTCTATTTTTAAAGGGACCATTTCCACATCCTAGGTTTGTTACCTGTATGGATATATGGAAAATAAAGGAAATGAATGAAGTTATTGCAGTGTTTTAATGGACTCTGCATTTCCTCCTGCAAAGTGAATATGATGTGGAAAGATGAAATGAATCAATATACAGCAACTCTGAACTCTTCAGGGTGGGTGGGAATAAGTTTAAATGCTCAGAGCCCATCCCATCTCAGTGTATTTTCATCAAAATTTAATGACTTATCAAAATCAGACACAAGGGGTTTTTCACCCTTAAGTTCAGTAAGGACTTATCCCCGGTGTATGTTTGAATGATGCTGTTAAAATAGAGTTAAAATCTGGCAAATATATGTCACCTTTCACACTTGAAGTCAATTTCCTTGCACTGGCAGATGTCTGGGTTCTCATCTGACTTGTCTTTGCAGTTTCTGTGGCCATCGCACACACGTTCAGGTGCTACCAGTTTAAGATAGCTTTCACAGTTGCAAAGCTCAGGTTCATCACTTCCATCGGAGCAATTTTTGTGGCCATCACAGAATGAAGATTTGTCAACACATTCACCATTATTACAGCGCAGCTGGTCCAGTTTGCACTGTGCTGTAAGAACTTACATCACTGAAGTTTCTACTGTGCTTACACTTTTCACTTGATAGATGAACACACTTATGCTTACTCATAGTGCTGTTAAGGTCTTAGGATCCATAGGCATAAGAATAAGGGGAGAAAATACATATACAAAATCTGGTATGAGGACCTGGTAGTGAAGATCATTCAGCAAATATAACATAGGAGTGAAGGAAAACATTAATCTAATTGTGAGGATATAAGGTTATGGTGTTTAAATTAAGATGGCTAAGAATAGGATGAAACTATCAGTTTTGCAAGGTGGTAACACTAAGTTGTTAAATTACAGCTAAAAGAAATAATAATTGCTGTCAAACACAGCATGTGACAATTTAAAGATGCAGTTCAAACTGAAATCAGCTGTGTGTTATCTCTTATCTCTTATTGTTCTCTTTTATCCCTGTAGACCTTGTAGGTGTCCTGTTTTTAGTTATCCAAATTATACAAACAATCTTATGGCTAAAATGAGACAATTATTCTACACCATGGAAACAGGATGAATGAAGACAGGTGGCTAAAAATAACAAGGATTTGAAAATTTATAGGGTAGAGAACAAGCAAAAAGCTACAAAGAAACTGGAAAGAATATTTTGAGACAAGTAGAGGCAATAATTTGTCAGATTTGAGGTTCTCACAGTGGTGGTTATTAAGACTTCTGAGACAACACTCTTTAGTATGTTGAAAATCAACTGATGTTTCAGAGAAACATGTAGCCTCCACCATCAAGACTGAAGAATAGGCCAAGCTGCTTGCTTCATGCTGGTTTCNAATTCCACAAGATTTACCTCAGTGTCATCCTTCCATCTATTTCTGGACCTTTCAATAGACAAAATTTGAACTCGAACCTACCAATAACGTTACTGAGAGCCCCCCGCCCCGGCCCGCAAAAAGAAAGAAAGAAAGAAAGAAGGAAAGAAAGAAAGAAAGAAAGAAAGAAAAAAGAAAAAAAGTGATGCTTATAAACTGTATTATATAGTACAATTTCCTGATTATTTACTGTTTTGATTGTGTGGTGGGTGATCTTGTAGTTTCATTTTATAGGGAATAATTTGTCAAGTCAATTGTACTGTCATGTAAATGTCCACTTCAGTTTAAAGTTTATAGTTCTCATGCTTATGCCATGTAATTAAACTTACAATTTCTGTACTTTGTGTTAAATGATAGAGCTGCCAGTCAGTACTGTGTACTATACTGTGTACAAAGTATGGAAATCCTTTGTTATAAGAATTATTTAAATAAGGCTTTTCTTATAAACTTTCTACTTCCTATGACAGTATCATCACAACATATATGCAAATGAAGATGTTAATGAGTAGACAATCCTACCACATTTATTCTGTTGGCATTGAGTACAGTAGGTTGTACTCTCATCAAGACCATAACGGCAGTCTTGATAACCATCACACACTTTCTCGGGTGGAAGGCATTGCCCTAATGGACACCAAAGTCCACTGCATACTGGTACCGCAGCAGGATCCACTCTCTCCCCTAGAACAATATGAGCTTGTATACAATTATTGTAAACTCTGCAGTAACAACAAATGTCATAAATATCTGGGATATACTTGTATACACAAAGAGAAAGTTATGTGGGGACCTGATATTTTTCAAACATTTAAACAAAATAATGCAGCAAGAAAGAACTGACTAAACTAACTAAATACAGCAAAATCTTTATACCAACAGCATCTCAAGAATTATGAATTAGTAATTACACAATTTAATTTCTAAAACAAATTACATCTGCAAGACAAACATCATATCACAACTTCTGTACTTGTAAATATATAAAATACTGTGGCATATTTGCTGAAGGCATAACGTGGAAGCCAGCAGAGAGAATGCTAGGAATGGTTCTGCAAATAAGGGCTGTTCCTAGGCAAAGGCTCAGTAGCAATCACATGGTCACACCAAAAGACATGAATGCAACATTGGAGTAAATATGGAAGTGGTGTTTTCTACACAGTCCTTGCTGAGATGTTATAAGCAGGACCAGAAATGCTGCAAATATTTTCCACCAGAGCCCTGTGAGACATAGGAGGCAACAAAAAGGGAATCGAGGGAATGGAGGTGTAACTGGGTCACCTTGTTCTTGGGGGATATAAATATGGTGACCTCGCTCTCCAGGTCTGGGGAATTTGAGACAGTAAAGTATGGTCATGAGTCCCGCAGGACTTGGATCCAAGAATGACTGTACTGCTGACACCAAGACAGACTGGTTGGATGGCTGTCAGCCATAACATAATTTTGACTTTAGCTTAGGTTCAGTGGTATTTATATGTTGCTCTTAGAAGTTGGAGGCTGAGGCTGGAGACAGTTCAGGAAGTCAGAGGAAAGGGAATGTCCACCATTGGAAGCCGTTACCAAGCACATGCAGTGAAAACGTGACTGTGGGCATGAATGTGTGTGTGTGTGTAATGGAGAACTCTAATTGTAGTTGCACACTCTATCAAAGAGCCCAATAAAGCCGTTCATCAATCAAAAATCCATCTATAGTCACTCTATCATATGGCAATATATTTCAAAGAAAACTTGGAGATTATTAATTCTTATCTCCTTACAAGTCCTGATGTCTAACTCCAGTGATTCATAGATATTAGAATAGAATCAAAGGCTAAATGTAGATTTAGTGTGGATGCTACGTTGTTTTACGTTCTGTAATAGAATTGTCTTAGGAAGAGTTGCAAAATTTTCATGCACAGTATTTTGGGACCATCCATTAATTGGTGTTACTGGCATTCCCACCTCAGAATTTGTCACTACCATAGAGATCAGGAGGATTATAGAGGCAATATTGTCATATCAAATTACACAAAACTCATTAAATTGGTGTGCAAGTTATTGGAAGGGGACAGACATGTGGAGATACTATAAGCTTATTTTTCCTTACACAACAAAGAAAATTAGTGAAATACCTATAAACATATAGTTTTCTCAAGTTATGAACATTCATATTCATGAAATTTTTACTTTATTCCACAGACATGGCTGCTTTTACTTTACCCATAATATTATGCAGTTTTTCTAGGTTCCTAGTAATGGCAGTGATGTTTGTGGTTCCTTGGAACCCACAGATGCCATCAGGTTCATAAAACACAGCAGCTGGATACCAGCCAACATCTGCACGGCACTTAACAACACCACTCCATGGGCTGTTCTCATTGTCCTAAAAGTGGCAACATAATACCAAATTCCATTATGATCATCTCTTAAAGAGCAGATGTAGCAGTTTCACCATGGGAGCAAAATATTCTTAAGATAGCAAGACCTGCATTTACACCTTGAATATCTGAGGAACACCCATCTTTCTGTCATTACTTTGATGTCTAGTTTTCTTATAATAATGCAGTCAGGAGGGGAATAATTTGATAAAATGACCTGTGAATATATTTGAAATTTTGCATACTCAACAGGTCTATGTGATATCAAGGCAATGGTTGATAGTGAGAATAATATGAACAGTTATCACTGTTTCTTATTTCTAGCCTGTAATACAACATGTCATTACACCAAATGCTGAAGCTAGAACATTGTCTTACAGATGAGACATGACTCTGCCACTATCTTTATATAACTAGAGTCAAATGGGTAATCAGATAATTCTTCAGGATAAGTGAAGAGGCTGTAATTCTTATCTTTTTTTAAACTTTATTAATGACTCAGTTCTGCTCAAACTTTCTGAAAAAAATATGAAATTATAGCTTCAACACCCTTGCAATTCATAACCAAAATACAAAAATATATTCCAGTACCTGGGTTGTATTTGAGGGACACTAATAGCCATTTCCAACCTGAGAGATCACTTCATGTTTTTGTATACTAAAAACGATCCTGCTATTTCTTACATCACATTTTATCAGTAGGGTTCATGACAGAACTAGACAAACCAGTGTGTATATTTTTTTATATATTTGAGTTGTAGCATAAATATAAGGATACTGGTTTTATATGTAAGTCATATTTGGAATTTGTTGTGTGTTTGAGAAGGGTTTCTTAGAAATATAAAGTAGAAGTTATGTAGCTATCTGAATGAGCTTAACAAAATTACAAGTCATTAAAGTACTGAATTTCATGCACTTTGAATGCATTAACTGTCTGAATTCCATTCAGTTTCAAGGTTCATTCAGCTTGTTGTTGTATTTTATCGTCCTGTTGCACTGATTTTCATCCATGATATGTATACAGTTGCTGTCTTGTAGTGCTCTCAGTTTCACCTGTTATTTCACGACATGTTTCGGCAACATAGTGCCATCATCAGGTGTCCTAATTACGCTAATCTATTTCATTGCTTGCCTTTATAAAATTTTTAAAAAGTATTTAAAAAGTGCGTATTTGTCAACTATAATGAATATACACACACTAAAACTTAATATTATATTTGAGCATCCTGTTACACTCGCACAATATATATAAGATAAACACCGTCTTAAGTGTAACAATTTTATTGTAGTTCTTTCTTCTTTCCCCTCACTCCACACTACACGTTTCGGCCCTAAATGGCCATCATCAGGTGTGTATTCTTACGTAGCTGTTACACTGCCTGTTAAAATTTAAAATCACCATTCTTTCTAATTGTATAAACTGTTTGTTAACCTACACACGTTAATTTTGAGTTCTATTTAGCACTTTTTTTAAAAATTTAATTCAAGTTAAAGTATCTATAAAATTTCTGTTCTTTTCCTTTTTCAAATTTTAAAATTAAAATTTTTCTTCTCTTTTACATAGGGCATGTACCCTGAGAAAAAAAAAAGAGAAAAAAAAGAGAGAACAATTTTAAAATTTGAAAAAGGAAAAGAACAGAAATTTTATAGATACTTTAACTTGAATTAAATTTTTAAAAAAAGTGCTAAATAGAAATCAAAATTAACGCATGTAGGTTAACAAACAGTTTATACAATTAGAAAGACTGATGATTTTAAATTTTAACAGGCAGTGTAACAGCTATGTAAGAATGCACACCTGATGATGGCCATTTAGGGCCGAAACGTGTAGTGTGGAGTGAGGGGAAAGAAGAAAGAACTACAATAAAATTGTTACACTTAAGACGGTGTTTATCTTATATATACTAAAACTTAAGATTATTCATCTTATGTGTCATAATTAAAACTTGTGTGTGGTTCTTCCACTATGGGGGTCGTTTTTCTTATATTCTGTGTAAACCGTGTCTTGTGATGTGTGTTCCCTTCTTAGCTGCGAGTGTTGTGAAATTGAGTGCACTACAAGATGGCAACTGTATACATATCATTCATTCAGCTTGATGATTGCATATCCTCCTTCCTTACTGTGTCTTCCAAACATACATACTTTCTGCATATATGGCTTATGTATGCAGTTTTTCTTTTCTTTTTGGATCAAAGTGTGACACTTGCACTTTGAAGGCATTAACTGTCTGAATTCAAATCAGTTTCAAGGTTTATTCAGTTTGATGATTGCATATCCTCCTTCCTTACTGTGCCTTCCAAACATACATACTCATACTTTCTGTATATATGGCTTATGTATGCAGGTTTTTTCTTTTCTTTTTGGATCAAAGTGTGACACAGTTTCCTTTTCTGTAATTTTTTCTCTACATGAAACTTTCCATTCCCCCCCCCAGAACGTGTCTAATATAAGACAATCTCATGTGTGTCAGCAATTCTGCACCCTGATCTGTATATAGATGGTCAGTAGGTTTAATGCTTTGCTATTTGCTTTAGGAATTCAAGCCAGGGAACATGTGAATTCTTCTTGTATGAATTACATAGAATCAAACTTGCCAAATTACAATTTCAAAAACCATTAAACCTGTTCCTCCTATAAAGATTGTTGGCAACAGCATAACTTGACTGGAAAACACTATCCAAACTAGTACCGTCATTGGTAAGTTCCTCTTCGTTGTGACTTTAAACTTGCTCAAAATCACTGTAATATATTTCAGAAACCATTATCACTAAAAGGTGCATAATCTTCACATCCATCTCCATCACTACCTTCTTCATTGCCCAGATATACTTAGATAGATTGCTCAAATTCTGATCACCACAGACCACTGCATGTGAGGTTCTTGGAATGTAATCCATCAAAGTAGTGGGCAGGTTTGGTCTGTCAAGTCACTGTATGTCAGGTTCTTGGAATATATAGTCCATAAAATTATTACCCAGGTTTGGTCTGTCAGACTACTGTATGTGAGGTTCTTGGAATATATTAGTACTCAGGTTTGGTCTGTCAGACCACTTGTGCAATTCAAGAGCAAATAATTCACCTACAATGAAAGATACCAGCCAGCTGAAGTGACAAGGAGGTTTATTATGTGATGGAAAATAGTTAAATTGAGCCATGCATGTACTGGTGAGACTGATAATGAAATACAATATGTCTGATATACTACTGCAGTCTCACATATCAGACCTAAATACTTAAGGGTTAAAGTATAGCTGTGCCTACTAGAGTATACTAGTCTCACCCATCCAATTGCACAGGCTGTGGAATAATACACCAACATAACTGGGTTTGTTTTCTTGAACACAAAATATGTTTTCATTGTTCCTCAGCTACACCTATACATTCATGCAACTACTTCTCACACATTTGGATTAAAGAATTTAATTTATTGAGCTAAGTAGAGACTAATTATCAAAATAAAATGCTGGCTGCCTCATCACATAGGCCTACCTGGCAGGTTGACCTTGCTTTGTACTTTCGTTTGAAACAACGTTGAGTTGGGTCACAGCCTGACAATACTGGCTGCAAGAATATAGTTTTGGTATCTCCCGAAGAATCTCTGCCAACTGCAATACATGTCTCTCCTTCTGTTGGATCTTTGTAGCTGCAATAGATGAAATCATGGCCTCACAAGCTGTGCTGTGTACAACTCAGTCAGAGCCAAATGAGGAGCATCACACAGTCATTAATGTACAGTTAGGCACTTGTCTGACTTTCAAGTTTCTCAGTTATGAATACCTTCCTAGTATTTATTTCCTACAATTTTAAGTAAAAATATAAAATTTTATTTCCTTATCACATATCTATATTCTTACTTCACAGTTTGCTTTAAAAATACACCTCTGAGAAGGATAAATATCATACCTGCCCCTCTTATTTAATAATTTTCATTTGTATTATGAATTAACAAATCAAATTCTTATTTTTCACAAAACTGCTTGTCTTCCAGATCTGATGCTTCCATGTGAGAACACCAGAGATTATCACAGTAATCAGAATAATGATTACATTCTTCTGAAATGTGACACCTTGTAATTTGGTAGATGGATATCAGTGTCTTGGAGGAAACTGCTGCCTCCATCTTCAGGTTAGAAGAGTTCTACATTTTTATTATGTGAAACCCTCTGCATATTTCAATTCAATCCTCTTCTGAAGTTAAAATATTAGTACCATAAAAAGAGAAAATTTCACAAAGAAATATGACATGACCACAAGAACTATTCTAAACCAAATTCACTAATGGACAGCAAGGATAGATTTGTATTTCCATTCACACAGACCTGTGCAAGTCAGTGATTAACTCCATATAGTAGGGTCATTGTTAAGAAAATGATAATAGGTTAGCTGGTCAAGAGGGAATTTTCATTTTTATAGAACCAAAACAGTGGTTACTCTGTTCACAGAAGACTGCAATTTGCACCAAATCCTTAGCCAGTTGAATAAAATCCATACCTTCATACTGTACTTAAGATTCGTTTTAACATTATTTAATATTAATTTCCACCCATGCCTAGGTCACCAAGAGTCACGTTTCATGAATAAACTTACAAGTGGGCCAAAGTAATTGGGTGAATATGACGAGAGATGTCCACTTCAGCATCAACTCCTATATCAATATGCAAGAGGAGGGCATCAGTGTATGGTACTCTCCTCATGTAGTCCACTCTTCGTACCAGCTCATATGGACTCTCGGTTTTCAAATCAATTCTAGGTACACCTAAAAGCACTGCCACATAAGATTCATTTAACCTGAAACATAGGAGCGTAGAAATGTGTCGTAAAAGAATTCGTAACTGAATATATTTTAAAATATTTCTAATTTGTTCTCAAAAATGTGTTATGATACATCCTGTATGATTAACAAGAAATAAATTAACATTTTACATAAGAAATTTGTTGAATATATGCAAAAATGAGAGAAGAGAGATTTACAAAAGGATAATCAACTACAACAGTTACTTCACACAGCCATAGACAAGAGTAAATATAGGATACCCATGCTACATATTACTGCCATTGGCAAGAGACAAAGAGCTAGCAAATGTATGAAAGAGTTAAAAATGTCTGTTTCCAGTGTTACATGTTTGAATATCCCATCATGTGTCACAGCATTTGTCACATAGTGAAAGCATATTCTGATACTGCTTTGCAAGAAGACTCCCTTTACTGAGACAACAGGATATCTTTACAAAATAAACAGAGACTGGTATCTTATTCCAGTGCAGAGGAAAGCTTATAGCCATCTACTTTCATCACTTTATGAAAATGAAAACTTTGCTTCAAGCTCAATGAAACGTATGAAGAATACAGGGGTCTAGGATGTGACTCTATGTAACCTGCTGTAAGTTTACTGATGTTTCTTTGGAATATGCTGCCTCCATTTTGAGAGTCAAAGAGTAAGCCAAAAGAAAGCAACAGAAAACAGTAAGCGGTAAGCAGAGTGACTCTCCTGTGGAAGAACCTGGTTTAGATATAGACCTGGGAAAGGCCCAGGGAGAACAAACATAAGCAAGGAGAACAGTAGTTAATGGAGGCACTTTCAAGGGTCATACCTGAAGAGTGCAGAGATGGGATAAAGCGAGAGACACAGTGGTACAAGTGACCAGGTGAATTGGTGGACCTGGAGATTGACAAGGGCAGCAGGAACGGTACAGTGGGCGATGGAAGGAAGAAGCTGGTGGATGCCCTGAAGATAGAGTATATAACAGATTAACAGTTTAGTTGGAAAACTACATCATGAGAAGCCATATAAAGAGGGTTCCTGTTTCTTTCAGGGAATGAATGGAAGGTTTTCGTGACATGCATAAGCAGAAGCCCTGCTCCCACTCCATTTTTTGGGGATGGAGCTCAATCTCAGTCACCTTCCTGATGATATAATCCACTTCTCTGGATCTGATGGAAGGATAATGATGTCTGAATAGGATGCAAGTTGATGCTGCGCCCTACATTGGCTGACTTGTCTGAACATTTAAGGTAGATATACTGATGGCGTATTTTTGTCTTGATGTCAATTATGCCTGTGTCTCCATTGTAGATCTCACCACTCACAGGGGGAAGCTGTATACAACCATTGTATTTAAACAAAAACAATACTTGAGCCTGGGGTTCTTCTCAGTAATATGAGCACTGTCGATGGCTTCTGTCTAAGCAAGTCATGGAAACCTCCATCCATTCCCTGGAAGAGTGCAGAGAGCCTCCCTCATATTATTTCTCATTCTGCTGCCCTCAACTAGGTCATTAGGCTCATTATACACTGCCATTTTCATGGCATCCATCTGTATGAGTTTTTCTTCCAGCTCTACCACCATATTTCATGGAACCCAAAACCTCATGACTGTGTTCACAAGAGGCTGCCACTGGTCTCTGTCCTGAGCCAGACAAATCCAGTCCTCATCCTCACAACTTATTGCTTCAAAATCTACTTTCATATATTGTCCCATCTATGACTAAACCTCTAAAGTGGTCTTTCATTTAAGTTTTCTGGTAAATTTTTATTCATTTCTCATCTCTCCCAAGCAAGCTATAACCTACTGATTTCACTATGGCCACCAAATGAGAAGAAGACTTTTACTGTTGTGACTTAAAACTGCGTGGCCTCTGACCATGCAATATACTTAAAGAATACACTCTGATCAACCCTAGATATGACCCTAAAAATGAATGATCTCTCAGGTCAAATTCATCTGAGTTATTTTCAAAAACTTACAAAATGTTGCCCATGATTACTGCATCAGTCAGCAACCAGTGGGTGTTAAGGAGAGTGGCTCCACACGTATATTTTCCTAGTACATAGACTGCTGCATGCCATGGCCAATCATATTCCTCTCCTACATTTGACCGTGTATGTAGCTGGAAAGCAGATGCGACATGCAGTAAACGAGGCCAGCATTCCACTTCTAAGCCAGTACAAAATTGCTGTGGCTCCTTAATAACATTAGGGTTGGTTATGTCAGTGGAAATATCTACATTACCAGCAGAGACATTATATGTTGGTTGTTGTATTATTTCTTCCATAGCACCACTCTTCACTGTGATTTCACTGAATTCACTGAAACTACTGTAAGAGAGACAATGATACCATTAGTATGTAGTGTCCACAGTTGTAAACCAAAATATAAAATTCAGACTGCAACAATATGAGTATTCCATATATGCTAGAGTCATACAGCTGGCAAAATTAAATAATGCTTAACTTATTAAGGACTAATTGCCTGTAAAGTAAAGCTATCCCTGTAACAGACCATGGAGACCTGTAGGGTTGTGAGATGTTGAGGGTCCCACATTATCTAAGACTATTGGCTCACAGATGGCGGTAAGTTTGTCAGCCTTGCACACTAGCTGCCCTTTATCCCCAGGAAGATTCTTGGTACTCATTTCTGTTAGAGGCTGAGTCGACCTAAGGGCCATAGTGCGGCTCGAAGTATTAGGTAAATTGAAAAATCCACCTCACTGGGATATGAACCTACAACTTTCTGGTTTGTATCAACCAACTATACTACTGTGTTCCCCAACTAATTGCCTGTACCTCCAGAAAATTTCAATATGAATTAAAGTAAGGTATACAACAATGGATCAGAATTTTATGGATTTTTTTTGTGATACCAAAAGCTACAATATTCCAAAGTATCTCCTCATAATTTAAACAATTATCATAACAGTTCTGCTGTTGACACTTATTTGGAACTCTTCAATTCCAATGTTACATTTTGGATGTTCTCTGGTATCTCCTGAAATATTTCTTTTGGATACTTTCCAGTTGAAAAACACAAAAGGAAGCAGTAGGTGCTAAACCTGGTGGTTAAGATGAGTGTCGTGAAAAATGGCTGAATATTATGTTCAGTAAAGAATTCCGTCAGACAGAATGCCAAATGTAATACTTTGTCATCATATGACATCCATAAACCAGATTTAAGCTCTCCAGGTAACTGGCATTGAGTTCCGGGTTCCAGCCCACAGAGTTTTCAGAATAGCCATAAACAACAACTTACTGGCAATGTGTCACGACAAACTTTTTCACAAATCTGAGGAATTGTTTCCCAGTGTATAATTATGATGACAGCCACAAATTTATTAATTTTAAAATCACATTAAATATTTTGCAGTTTGTGTTATTGATCTTTCAAGTTACACAGACTTCATGCACACATACTGTTCCACAATGTCAGCCATTACACTATGTGATAACTCACGGATGAATTCATATCTTACTGGCAGAACTCAATTTGTGGAAGTACAGCATTTAGATGAAAAGACCGCAAATATAAAGCCATTTGTTTCATTGTGTACAGAAATAAAATATGGTGTACTTCAGGGTTCTGTTTCGGGAACCCTTTTCTTCCTGTTGTTTATAAACGATTTTCCCAAAGCTGTTCAAGAAGCTAAGGTGGTGTTTGTTATTTGTGGATGACACAAATATATTTCTCATTGACAAAAACCTTTCATCTTTAAAAGAAAAATCACTAAAAGTCATGAAACAATTAGAAAACTGGTTCCTAACAAATAATCTTATAATAAACACTGAAAAGACTAAAGCAATACTATTTCAGGGAAGATGATCTAGTTTTTACTCATGGACCCATTCTGTATTTAAAAAATAACTTACTTATCAAATTTAAAGGTTTTAGGTATGTAACCGTTCCACTGCTACGCAACTTATTTATGTAATCAACTTTATAAATTTGAAAGCTTAATTGTTCAAAATGAAATGCAGTGAACAAGGGTAGTGAAACATGGTCAATTCTTGTATGTAAGAGAAAGCGATTTCTCAAGCTTACAACAAGAGACAGGAAGACACCCTTCAAAGGTTTATTAGTGGAAAGCTGCGTTAAAGAATAGGGTAAAGAAATCTTTTGTAAATTCAATACTTGGCAGTTTGTACATGCCATAACTTAAAAAAAGAGTGAAGTTTTTAGGGCCCAAGCGACGCGTAAGCATTTGTCACTTTCTGACAGAAATACGTTGGAGTCAAAAATCCTTAAACGCTTGTAAGCTTTAAGCGGAGTGGAGGAATATCTAATTAAGATACTCCTATTTTTCAAAATTAGCCAATCACTAAAATTTAAGGGGTGACAGGGCAGTGATGCTGGAGAAAGCAGGAATTGAAGGTTTGAGGAAGCGTCATGTTTTAGCATCAGTCGGAAAGTGGGACTCGTGAGAACCAAACGTAAATTCGGAAACCGGGAGGTGATAGATGTAAATTCGGAAACCTGGAGTCGTTAGAATCAGCCGCAAAAAGTTATACATCAGGCTCCAAAGCAGTTAGACATAGAGGTTACTAACACTGAAACTGTATCAAAAGTGATTAAACAAGTGTTCAATATAATTCGTCCAAACTTGAGATGTGCTTGTGATTTGTGGTGTTAATTTATTCCTTTCTGAGTTGTGGCCCGTTCAAGGCTCTGAGATAAGAAGTACTCAGCTCTACCAAATCAACAAAACCCCCTTCTTTTAAAATTAACCCTGAGATATTTAGCAACAAGAAAGAAGAACCTAAAGAGGCGACCTAGCGTGTGAAGAGGAGGAGGAAGAAGAAGAAGAAGAAGAAGAAGAAGAAGAAGAAGAAGAAGAAGAAGGAGGAGGAGGAGGAGCGAAGAGTTAGCAAGAAGGGCGGTAAGAGGTATTTATATCACAGATAACTTAAGCTCGGCCCCACACACACAATATCTTTGCTATAAATTAAACAAAGCTCTTTATTTGATTAAATCCATATGAGACTCAGTAGGTTTACAAGTGCTAAGAAATGTTTATTTTACTAAATTTTAATCTATACCGAAATCTGGTTATATTTTTTGAGGGGGGGTAAATAACAGTAATACAGTCTTTAAATTACAAAAAAACGTCTAAGGCTCATTAAAGGAGTGAATAACAGGGTGTCCTGTAGAAGTTTGTTTGGTGAATTTAAGATTTTAAGAGTAACTTCTTTATATATATATATATTTGTGTGTGTGTGTGTCTGTGAGAGAGAGAGAGAGATATCTTATGCTTTTTAAAAGGAACAAAATCTACACAACTCATTATTCAGACATTCACAAGTATAACATTAAAGGAAAACAGGATTTGTATGTTCAAACATGCAACACTGTTCATTACAAAATAAGTGTAATTAACATGGGAATTAAAATACATAACAGCTTGCTCTCTGAATTAAAAAGAATACAAAATATTTAAGTTTTTAAAAATAAATTAAAAAGTAATTTATTAGAAAACTGTTTTTATTCTCTGCAGAAGTTTTTTTAGTAACAATGATGTATGTCAATTTGGTGGCTTGGGTTGATTTTGATGTGGTGTGGATGAATATAGATGGTACAAGTGTATGTGTTACTTTCCATTGGATTGCTGGGTGTTGTCATCCATTGTTGCTAAGCTTCAGCAGTGGGATGGTGATCCTAAGATGACTGTATTGTTCTTAGTCTTTTGTATCATTTTGTATATTTTTAAGAGCTGTTGATGTATAGTATTTTAGATGGTTTAAATTGACTTGTCCAATTGTACTTGTGTAACAGTTTATGGATGTAAATATACCATAAAAAATTTATGAGCCTGTATAAATAATGGTGCTTCACAAAACTAATATGAATCTCTGCTCTCTACAGCTGTAGTGCAGCCAAAACAACTCTCAATATTTTTGGTTTTATTGTCAAAACTATCTGTGTTATATTTTTTTAATTTGGTAATTTAGCAATGCTGTAAGTGTTGACTAGATAGCATATTTGTCAGAGTTTTTGACATACAATAAAATCTGTTCTAAATTTTAAGATTGACCCTCATATTTATGCTTATACCTCTATTATACATAAAGATAAAAAAATGTAACCGTTTCATAGAAGTTTGTTATTCTTCTTGACTTATATTTTGAAAATTGTTCACTATCCCAGTTTTTCAAACCAGAATCTTATGGACGCTTTTTCTGTTTCTCACTCCTCACTTCTCTTGTTAATGTCTTACCTGTAACCAAGATAAAAGCATATGTTTGATGCAAGCACCTTCTGATCCATTGTTTCTGTTACACACATTGGTCTCCATTGTTCATTAAGACTAACGGTAAAAATGCCTTTTTGTCTGATATGTGAAAGTCCATCTGCACCGATTTGGACACTAAACCCATTTGTTAGTGCAACTGCAAAAAATTAAAGAGTAAATCAAAATACTTTCTAAATGAGCATGACACATATACAACAAAATCCACATACTTCTTACTATCTGCAGTTCTCTAGTCACATTTCATTGAAATTACTATTCAAATTCTTAAATTGTACATTAGGTCCTAATAGAGTTTCAATTTATTTAACAACACTTCCCCAGTTACATAAGATATATGAGTCATATGGTAAGATAGTTCTGAAGGATGTGGAAGATAGTGGTTTTTACTTATTTTAAGGCTCTGTTTTGGAATTTTTCAGAAAAGATGTGAAAAGCCTTGTCAGAAGAAGTGGCCTTTAGTCTGAGAATCATATCTGCCCCCTTCCAAATACAAAGAAGGAATTCTAACCATTCAACCATCATATTTATTGAAACCTAAGAGAAATATTAAAAAATTGTTAACACCATGTACTTCATGGTGTGTGCTGATGGAAGGAATATGAACAGTACTTCAAAATCTTAAAATCAATTTACCTGATCCATGTAATTTTGTATATGAAAATTAAATACACCTTCTTTGTTCTTTAATATAATTCAGCACTAATAACTGCTGGTTAAACTGTTCAGATTAGTATGGACATTTGCACATAGGATGACTTTAACAATTTTTATTTGGTGGATAATACAAAAACAACCTAATGGAATGTACAACAAGACTGAAGATTATAAAATTTTCCATACACAGGGATGTTTGTTAACACTTTAGATAACTGAAATATTGATGAGGTTAAAAAACAATTTTCATATACTTACGAATAACACTAAACTGAATTCTACCAGAAACAGATATGTGGTCCATAAACTGAAGTAGGTAACAATAGAGTTTTCACATTTGTCACTTGGCAATACTCATCAGTGGATTAAACTCTAAAAGAAATTGAGCTCTAAAACATTGGAATATGTCTCCTTGGTCAATTTTTCTCAAAATCTGTTTCCTATACGCACATATGAACACGTAAAACATAATGGATACTACACAATTTCTCTGAATAAATATTATTTCGTGAATAATTGGTGTGACTTTGTTTCTAAATGGGTAATGCAGTTTTTTGCGAGTAGATGATACACAGCCTTCTGTGAATGTTCAAGAAAAACACTTATCAGGTGCTTCTATTTAATGCAACAATTAACAAAATGTAATTATCTTACAACAGTCACTTTCATCTTCATTATGTGGACAGTCTAACTGATGGTTACATTTGTAGGCAGATGGAAGACACTTTCCACTCTTGTAGCAATAGAATTCATCTTCAGTACAGTTATCTGAAAGAGACCAATTGCTGTCAAGTTCATGATCCTCATTTTCTATACTATGAAGCAATTAAATTTTCTTGCATATACACAAAATCATCCAAAACAACAGAGGAGAATTAGTCATGCCACACCTATGGTATCACAACCCCAACAGTATTTCCCATGCATTCTGCCATATTTACAGACTGTTCAAGTTATAATATGCCACATTCATATTATACCAAGAAATGTATTACAAGATTCATTTTCTTTAATTGCACAAAGATCTAACACTATAGAGTCAACATACAGTACTCCTCTCTTTAATTTTACAGTGATCACGATAATAAAAATGCAAGAAATTCTACAAATAATGTGCCAATTTTGCCAGTGTTTCTATGTGTATTGCAAGGTCAGAAAAAATCAGAAATTAATGATTATAGAACTCAGTGGTCTACTTTTGTGCATAATTTCCAATGCCTGATTTAAATTTTCCAGATATAATCTTAAAGATTCACACTATGGATGTTTGTACAGGCTCCATATGTAGCTGCGCCTCAGGTATAATCTTTCAGTTCAATATAAGATATGACAGTATTTTCATGCTGTCCGCTATCTTTGTGAAAATTATAGTCATGACTTTTCACTGTCTGATATTGCCATGAAAACATATTTTGAATCTACATCACTGATGGTAAAATTACACGGCATATCAAAATACACTGGCATTACCGACCTTAGCTGTAGAGAAAACCTGTTCCTCTGTGTCCTTTACTTACAGCACCCTCAGCAAGAATTAAAACTTCAGGTCCTGACTGAGTTATAACATTGCACAAAGCTGGCATTTCATTCTGTCTTAGGATCCACACAAACAATTTTTGTGTAGAAATGGCATAAGATAAAATTTTTTGTTCCAGTCTTAGGGTATTTTCCACTTCACAGTTGTTTGTTCTGCATATTTAATCATCATGGCCTTCCAGTATGAATCATAATTGCAGTACCTGATACTTCTAACACAATATTCTCTCTCACACTAGTACTCTTTCCTTGACAGGAGCTGCCATTTTTATGTTGAATAACTGTATGCCATATATTGCAAATAGGTGAATTATTGCATTTGTGTCATAACTTTGATGGTACTTCTGACAACCTAATGGCAGCTTGTGACTTCTAACCTTGAAACATACTTCTATATCCCTTGCTTTCCTGCTTGATACTCTTATAGCATAACAAAGCAAACTGCACCAGGAACATGCTGACAGCAATGAATTTAAATGATGTATGTATTAGATATTATTTTTATTCTGAAATCTGGAAGGGGAACTCACTTTTTATTCAAGCAAATGTAATACCAACCTCATTTTTGTGACGCCAATGGGAAAAGCAAAGACAGTTGTCATAAAAGATTCAAGGATAAAGAATCAGCATTTGAATTAAGATCAAGAATTTTTTTTCTCAATTCAGTCTCAAAAATTGCGTACTCACATTTGCCTTATATATGTAAATACTATAAAATCATGCAACAGAATAAAATTACTTACGACAGTTTTGTTCATCTGTACCATCTGCACAGTCCAGAAAATCATCGCATACAAATTGTGGACGGACACTATGCAACTGGTCCAGACATGTGCATTCTGTTTCATCAGACACATCCTCACAGTCCACCACACCATCACATACCCTTATAAACAATATCTTCTGGGGAAGCCTACAAACACACCATGCCTACAAATTAAATTAAAGTTAATTTCTTTAGTATGGCTAAAACTGTATATAAAATAAGAAAGTGGAATTGAAAACAGACAATCACATTTACATTATAATAGCTCTACAATTATTTAAAAAAAGGAGACGCAAAGTAGCTATTTGGAATTTCCTACACCACAATTTTAAAAATACAGTTTACAATAGTATACAATATGCTAAGAAATAAGCCAATATGGGATAAACTCTGCCAGTGACAAAGGATATTTGAACTACTGCAGAAACAAGTTTCAGAGCAAGCACTTTTGGGCCATTGTTTCTAAAATATTTACATTTTCAGAACCAAGACAAGACATAAGAAAATTCCGAACACATCTCAATACTGTGTCCTCTTTTTGGAAACATTATTATACTAGCTCAAATATATGTGCTATGAATTTAAAATTAAATGTGATAAATGATTTCTCTCTTCACTTATCTTAATCAGACGTATATTGGAAAATATATTTTTCAACAGGGTTCATTGTCTGTTCCTACAGTGTTACCTAGTCAAGTTGTCTAATAAGTATTTGACTTGTGTTTGAATATTGAAAATCAGAACTTAGCAATACATGCACACACATTGGCGTGCGCATGCATGGCCACACATGTATCCACTCCCCCCCTCCCTACAACGCATATTTGCTGGTACATTAATATTTGGTTTTAGCCTCAAGGCCAAAAACATAAAATGTACTGGCAGGTGTGCAACTTCTGCCTTTTGAAAATTCTGCTGGTATTCATCAATTAAGTAAAAAGTAAATAGCAAGTGGTAATGTGTCAAAAAGTATGTAATTATAACACAGTTTCAACAGAAAACTACTAGTGTTTCCTCAAGGGCTGTGGAGGCCCATAGGGCTGTGAGATGTTGAGGTTCCCACATTTTCTAGACAATCAGCTCACAGATGGCGGCAAGGTTGACAGCCCTATGCGCCGGCCACCCTTTACCCCCAAGAACATTCAAAGAATATTCCTGGTACTCATTTCTGTTAGAGGCTGAGTCGGCCCAAGGGCCATGGTGGGGCAGGAAGGATTAGGTCAATTGAAAAAAAATCCAATGACCTCATCGGGACTTGAACCCGTGACCTTCCGGTTTGTAGCATTGTGCCTCAACCAACTATGCTACCGTGTGCCCCTGGTATTCATCAGTTACTTGATAGAATACATACTAATGTATAATTTTCATTTCGTGCATCCTGCTGTGTTACAATATATACAACTTGTTTATTGGGCCGTCAACACAACAATCAAAGAACTTCAGGGACAACGCCCAGATACAGTTCATTACATGTTTCGGCCACTAGTGGCCATCCTCGGGTGAATACACTTCAATAAACATACACTACTGAACTGCAGCACTTAAAGTCCAATACAATATCGTGAATCATTTAAGACACATATAATAAGAATATAAAATATAGGTTATTCAAAACCAATAAAAGTCCTATATAAAAACAAAATTAAAAACCTGATTGATGTTTTATAACATCGAATCAGTCGTTGGTTCCACCTCACATACGTATCAGTCAACAAATAGCAAATTACGATGTTTCATTTAAAATTGTAAAGGAGGCTCAATAATTAATGGAATATTTGGAGCCTCATCATACCACCCATACATTACGTACAATCCTCCGCATGATGAGGCTCCAAATATTCCATTAATTATTGAGCCTCCTTTACAATTTTAAATGAAACATCGTAATTTGCTATTTGTTGACTGATACGTATGTGAGGTGGAACCAACGACTGATTCGATGTTATAAAACATCAATCAGGTTTTTAATTTTGTTTTTATATAGGACTTTTATTGGTTTTGAATAACCTATATTTTATATTCTTATTATATGTGTCTTAAATGATTCACGATATTGTATTGGACTTTAAGTGCTGCAGTTCAGTAGTGTATGTTTATTGAAGTGTATTCACCTGAGGATGGCCACTAGTGGCCGAAACATGTAGTGAACTGTATCTGGGCGTTGTCCCTGAAGTTCTTTGATTGTTGTGTTGATGGCCCAATAAACAAGTTGTATCTAGTGTATAATGACTAGAAAAATAAATCCCTGGGTGATATATAACTTGCCCTTGAGGAAACACTAGTAGTTTTCTGTTGAAACTGTGTTATAATTGCATACTTTTTGACACATTACCACTTGCTCTTCACTTTCTTTTCGGATATTTAACAGTTTCGATTAGATTTTAAATCTGATATTAGGATGCTGGATTCTTAACAGATCATGCAGAATTTCTTAATTTGGAGTAATATTTAAGTGTTCGTTTGAGTTTGAAAGTTTTGGCATTTGTAAATTTGTACTAAGTAGTAGTATGCACTAAATACAGTTGAAGAACTTACACTTTGCAATTAAAGGTTAAACTGGAAGTATCATTTGCTCCATTAGTGGGAGGTGAATATGTTGAGTCAGATGATGGATGTGGTGAACCACGTGCTGACAGCGATTCAGACCATCCAGTAAATGAAGAAATTGACTCAGAATCATCATTTCCATGAAGTGGTATGGATGAGGTAATATTTGCAGAAAATATACTATCAACTTCAATACTAGTTTTTGGTTCTGAAATTCCAGTCTCTTCTTCGTCTTTATTTTTGTGTGTTATAAACTTTAAAGACTGTTTATTCTGGTCTGTTAACACCAAACTTTTAACTGGAGATAAATCACTAACATTATAATTTACTGACATTGATGATGGAGCTATAAAATTTTCAGTTGAGGTGCTATACACATCAAGACCTGAATCTGCTGATGAAAATTCTACTTCCAGTGCATCTTGTTTCTTTGTTACAGGAGATATATTTGAGAACAGGAGAGAGTTTGTCTTTATGGCTGGTTGAGAATTTGTTGTAGACAATGATTTGGATTCAGTGATTTCATCCTTTGGTGTCATAATATTAAATATTGGCTCCATACCTCTTGCATTATAAATACTGCTCATTTGTGCTACAAAAAACCGACTCTCTCTTCTTCTTATTTTACCTGAGTTGGTTTCTCTTTTGGTTACTTTATCAGGCAAAATGCTATTTTGTGTTGTAATATCAGACACTGGGTTCCTCTCTGTTGTATTTTCTGATGATATGTTGTCCTGTGTTTCACTGAGAGGTATTGTGTTGCTTAGTGTTTCACTATAAATTTTATGGCTTTCTGTTTCACTTTTTGATATTGTGTTATTTAGTGTTTCACTATAAATTGTACTGCTTTGTATTTCACCAAAAGATATTGAGCTACCTTGTGCTTCACTAAAATCTGTTGTATTCCGTTCTGTTTCACCATAAAATATTGTGTTGTCTTGTGTTACAGTATAAGACACTGTACTGCCTTGTATTTCACCAAGGGGTGTTGTATTAACTTGTATTTCACCAAGGGGCATTGTATTAAATTGTATTCCACTACGAAACATTGCATTTCTTTGTGTTTCAATAGTAAATACTGAAATGCCTTTTACTTCACCATAAGATGTACTGCCTTGAGTTTCACCATGAGGCACTGTGTTGCCTTGTTTTTCAGCCTGAGACATGCTGTAACTTTGTATCAGTTCAGCAGGCTTTGCATCATTTTGCATAAATATATCAGAAATTTCATCAGTTTGGACTAGATCATTAGATGTATTTTTGGCTTTTCTTTCAACAGATGATGCGGATAATTTCTGTGTATTATATGTGGATAATACATCTGCTACAGTGTGCACTAATTGCCCATTTCCAAGAGAATAAGCATTGAAATCTTCTTTATTATTATAATCATTTACATTAGTATGATCTGAGATTCTGACATTTAGAAAACCGCTTTCTGAACCATCTTTATCTGTTAATAAATCATTTGTATCTTCTTTATGTAACAATGTTCTTGAGGTGTGTTCTATCATGTTTGGTAAGTTAAATTTACTTTCCATTATTTCTAAATGTTTCAATGAAGAAGATGAATTTTCTATTATATCTGATAGCTTTGACTTCTCTTCATTTATTTTACTATCTACGGTTTCTTCATCAGTCCCAGCAGATTGTACATCATTAACTTGACCTCTTCTTTCCATTGGTAGACTGCTTTCTCTTTTGGTCATGATTTCCTCTTCAAGCTCTTTTCCAGAAAGCAAATGTTTTATGCCATGGTCAGTCATTGATGGCTTACAATTTAGTTCATCTTCTGCATCAAGACAATCAACCACTTTATCACATTTCTTTCTTATGGATAAGCAACGTGTGTTACCCACTGAGCATTGTAGTCCAGGACAAGAGCTGTGAGGAGATTTCACTGAAAAATGACTTCCACCTAAAATACAAGAATCATTAAATATTATGTAGAGGACTGATAAGCTATGACTTTATGACACAAGATATAAACCTTACAAATATCTGTATCTTCCTTCAATTATTTTCATTTAAAATAGCCTATTCAGATAAAACGTGTGAATCAGTACTCCATTTTGCATCTTGAAGACTTTAAAATTAATTTTCAAATTTTCAGAAACCAGTAATTATTTATTTGTAAGTAACACGTGACTACCTAAGTTATATTTTGAAGCCACTTTGTGCAACAGATTAACAAAGAATATTCAAATAATATTTAGATGAAATCTGTGTGAATTCTTTATGATAAATCATTCTATGATTTGTGTCTTTCCACCTGTACTCGTTTTCTCAGTAATCCAGTTCAGGAACAATGCAACTCTGGTATATGCTCCAGGCTCATTTGGACGAGCACATCCCTCGCCATGACTGACAACACCAGCGACATACCATTGCATCGGCTCCTTTTCATACCTAAAATAAATCAACATCCTCATAATGTGTGTGTGTGGTGCAATTTTCACTTTTGATATGCACTCTTTGCACAAACATAAAATAAACCAAATGTACATGAAGACTGTGCCTGCCTATCTTTCCACATAATACCTCTGAAATTACTGGAGAGTTTGATAAAATTTTAGTGCTGGGGAACAACACAAAGAGCTGCCGAAATAATTGTTAAATTTGTGTCAGTTCAATATAAAACCCACATTACATCAAGTTAAAATCACACTCCATCACTTTCTTTCAAAATGATTCTGTATATAAAAATTTGTAAAAAGCACAAAATTTAGATTTCTTTAGGACCTACAGCTTTTATTTTCAACACTTTCCTATATTCTGTATATTTAGCAAAATATGATGGAAAACAAATTATGACTATGCCGTAGAATATCAAAATGTGATCAGCTTTGATCCAATAGACTTGCATCTGTTATAAATCAGGCAAATGACACATCCAATACTGCAAAAACTGCATCTGGAAATGATATAAAAGTTCATTATTTTTCTGTTACTCTGAAGAAAAAGGGTCGACAGTACTGCAAAAGATATGCAAGGTTTGAAATCCTCATTCAGGTTATGGTCTTCTGGGATATGGTTCTACATAGTTTGGTGGATAAGTAGGATACATTTCAAATAAAATAGTGTGATGTGCTGCCTAAAAGCCTGACTATGGAGTATATTTCAGCATTCATTGCTGGTCAACAGATATCACTTCCTAGACAGCGGAATAGAATGAAGCATTGGAATTCTAACAGTTTCCATGGTTACAACGAACTGTTCAAAGCGTTGTATGACAATAGGAAAACCAAACTGTTGAGACAAGTGTTTCATAAGCAGCCAGCAAAAAACCTATTTAAGGGGGCTGAATGTACCAGACAGTTAGTTGAGTTCTGGAAGTTGCTGAAAACAGTTCAGTTTGGCTGTGACTATAGCAGAAGCAATAATTATAATATTGTTGTTAGAAACGTCTGACAACGTTATAAGTGGTTGATTATTGTGCTTGCAAGTATAGACGAGAGTGGCCAATAAACATATTTGCCAAATCTGAGACCTGCCTGAATTTAATTGTCATGTTACATAGGCAACACATGAAAATATACTGCCTCCATCTTCAGATGCTTAAGTCATTTTACTAGCACTACTTACCTACCAAACTACATGGCATCACATTCCACAAGACAATAATCTTAAAATCTAAAAAATGTTCACAGACCTATCACCATGCAAAACTGCATAACCCTACATTGAATATGCCAGTATTTTCCCATTTCAGAAGCTTTTATTGACATTGAAGATATAATGGAAGTAAAAAGTATCAAAGTAGGACCAGTATCCAATAACATGATCATATCAAGTTTCATGAATACTAACTAATTAGTACCTATAAAATTGGTGTATGAAATTAATACAAGTGACACACATGTGCACCTGCCTGAAAGTTTTCTTTAGAATGTTAAAAATAAAGATGATGATTGTATTACTCTGCTGTTAGCTTAGTGGTAATTTACTTTATCAATTCGTTGACAGCAGCTATAACACTGTTACATTATAATGACTTTGGATGATTGATAACAATGAATTAACTTCTGAAGAATGCTGGAAGAATATAGGATGGTGCTGCCTTAAATCCATCCCATTTCACATTAACTAAATGATCTTTTATAAAAATGCATAAAATTTTATTAAAATTAGTCATGTTGTTTCATTATGCACAATGCATAAATTGTTGCATCAAAATCCTTGTAAGAATGTGATATAACAGTGAACAGAAGACAATCTTTATCATGTTTCATACACCAAAATAGAAGAATTATCATGAATATGTTTGAATTTGAATTTATTTGTGTTCCATAAATCCAAGTGCAGGATGTGAAACAATTCAAGGACAAGTACATAATATCTGTACAATAATAATTTTGCTTGAAGAGTTAATAAGATTATAATGCAGTACTAATATTACCATGCTAATTGGATACATATGGCACAGTTTGCAAATAAGCAAAATGATGTAGTAACATGTTTGGGAATACATTTTAGCTTAGAATTGGTACTAGTTACTGTTTATTTATATCGAAATAGTCATTTATGAAGTAGAAGGAGTGAGTAAATAAGTAAATTTTCAATACTGTTTTAAATTGCTTAATATTACCAGTTGCTTTTTTTGAGACTTTGAGGGAAACTATTGAACACTTTGATGCCAAAGGAGTGAACTCATTTTTGATATAGAGACAGATTTGCTGAATATTGATGGAAGTCGAGTTTTTGCCTTGTATCTATGTTACTGTATGTAACACAACCTGATACTCAAAGGCTCTAAATATTTTAGCAGCTCTTGAAATTCTATAGCATGATAAAATATGTAATCAAAATGTATGATCAACTTTAGATATCTTTAAAAATTTTAAATTTTTAATTAACAAACAGTACTAAAATCCATGTTCTTAAAAAAAAAAGATATTCAATTTATCAATGGCGGCAGCAAGAAGTGAAAAATTTGCAGACAATTTGTCTAACAGTAGCATTTTGGATGATGATTTTAGAGGCATACAGTGGTTCATCCAGGAAGGTTAGTGGCACTGTCAACTATGTTTAAATAACAATAACTGGCAATACACTCATCCACAGGCCACACAGTATCACCAGGAGTGGAAGGGCATTAAACTTTTGTTAACCGTATTATTCCATTAAAGTTTACTATATCTTAATGCTGACTACTTTACTCAATTATTATTATATTTTTAATACATTGAAAATGGTATGGGATATGTAATTTTACTGAATTCTGTTACTGCAGGACTAGCAATGGACTGATATCTTATCATTAAGCGATTTCAATAACTTTCATGATAAAGTGTGTGGGTTATGCGGTAAAATCTTTAAATTGAAATACAACCACTTCTTTAATATCTCTCCATTGCCACTGATCATTCAGTTTTCTTTGGGGTTGATAAGAGAATAACTGAATAAAGAAAGAAAATATTAGTTGTATAGACTGGCTACGCTCTGTGTGAGCAGTATATAAAATAGACATACAGTTCAGATGCGGTTGATGTTACTCTCACACAATTATGAGAACAATGCCTCCAATATTTGATATTATTCAGATGAAGCTTCTCCATCTTTAAGCATGTTAAAAATTTTCTGCTTCTACATAATGCACTCAATGTACTGAAAAAATGTTCCTTGCTGCACTTGGCATATTAAGGGGTTTCTGAAGGAAGTAGTCTGATAGTATCGGGTTACATTAAATTAGGGTGGTCTGGAAAAGGTTAATATTATTTCAAATGATGAAACTGCATTCACCTACAAAGAAGAGGTCCACCACTGTCCCCTTGGCATGCATCTTTCCCACCTTCTGCTATGCCTGCACACAGCTCTAATCCTTCATTGTCCTCTCTGTGTTTACAACTTGGCAGGATGGGCACCTCCACTTCTTGCATATGATCAGCTATGAAATGAAGTACATAGCAGTATTACCTACTAACCCTTCATATGCCATGAACCAAGTGGGTTCAATTGGAAAATATGCATTAGAACTGGCACAGCTGAAGAGATCAGCTTGATGCTAATCACTCAGCAGAGTATTTCTTTCAGTAGAAGGCATGAACATAAACTGACTTTCACACTATCAACCTCTATAGTCACTTGAATGTAATCTGCAGAAATATAGAAATTTCTTGTGTGTAATGGTACATAGCTCCAGACACCCTTGGCAGAGGTTCCATGGAGGGGCTGGGCAGTGAAATGATTAATAGTAATTTTTAAATAAAGTTGATGCTCTCAAATTTAATATTAGTTCTTCAACATTACTTTTCATAAAGCCTTAGTCTGTGTACAATATGAAGCACAAGCAAAAGAAAGTAATATAATAAACAAACATTTGAAACAAAATTCTGTTCATTCATTTCCTTTAAACATATTTCATACTTATTTCTTTATTATAACATATTCATGATGCCTAGAATGACAATGCAACCTATGGTGTGGACAGGATTGTGCTTCCCAAGACTTACTACTCTTCAGATTGCAACATTCTACATGCTCAGCAAAACATAGTGGCAGTATTGAAAACACAAGCAGTGAAAGGCATTTGAATGTTCTGCCACTTTGTCACAGTCATACTGTACAATTTAAGAAAACTTTCAACTAAGCAAAGAGTTAAATGGATTTCACAAGAACATGTCTGTGTTCAGTTGTATGAAATTAAAGTTTTCAGGTTGCCTTCAAAATTTTAACATGTGCAACACAAGTTTCACATTTCTTAACACTTTCTTTGCTTAGACATTCAACAGAAAGACTTCATACACACACAAACACACACACATATTGTCACAGGAAATGAGCCTGGTGGGATTGCATCACTTGACTTGCACACCTGCCTACCATTTGGAATGCTTGGGAATATGATAGGCTCATGAGGAAAACTCAAGTGATCTCATTGGTTCAAGTTCATTAAAACAGAAGGATGAGGGCAGTCCCTCATTCCAATTACTCTGGCATATTGAAGCCACCTTTGTCATGTTTTCCTCCACCGTCTTTGCATATCATTCCACCATCCTACCAAACTGTGCGAGCAGAGGTATGATCCATGTCTTGCAGATTCATAGGTGGGTGTACACCTGCAGGAGTTATGACTTGAAAGTCTGGCCTTAGAATCTGCCAGATGGAGACAAATCTTTTCACCCATAATCATATAGCATGGTGGAATGGATCATGAAAACAATAAAAGGGCGTCTGAGGAACATCATTATAATGGGCCAAATACATTGCGTCATGGGGCTACCCATTTTCCTACTGGTCTACAGAACTTCAACTCAGAATACCTCAGGTATGATGCCCACCAGCACAGGGTTCATCAGAAAGTTATGTCAGCCTTGTGACCTGCTGTTTGGGACACCCCCACCCCACAAATCAATCAGGGAGCAGCCCATAAATTCCTATGTAACAGACCTCATGGAATGGCTACAGCTTGGGTAACAACTGGTCTAGGTTCCTGGAATTCCATTGAGTTAGTTGGTCAAACAAATCTTTATCCTTTTACTGGCCAGATTGAGATGTTGAAGGGCATTATGAAATGTGTCATGCAGCCATGGTAACTAATAATATTCTTAGGTAAAAGTTATGCACTTTCACATACAAACACATTCCAGGAACCACTTCCATTTTTTTAATTCAGGAGGTACATTAACAACTAAATATCTGACCAACTAAACCAATGGAACAGAGAACTTGAGAAGTCAATGGCTGTTCAGCTACTCAAGAAATTTCAATCTATGGGACTGGAACGTTCGCCCTCGTGTTCTCAAGAGCTCACCACTTGTCCCTATCCTGAGCTATATGAATTTTTTCCAAACCTTTCCAATTATTTCTTTAAAATAGTTTTTATTGTGTCCTCACATATATGCTTAAATCTTCCTAGCGGTCTCCTTCCTTAAAGTTTTACCACCACAATTTTTTGTATGCTTCTCTTCTCCCCCACACACACTAGAACCTTGGCAATATCATTCTCCTGGTTTTGATCATTCTAATAAAGTTTGATGTGGAGTACAAATTATGGAGCATCACATCATGCCCTTTTTTCAAGCCTACTTTTAGTTAATTCTTTTAGCTCCAAATATTTTCCTCTGCATCCTATTACACATAACATACACCTACTTACATCATTTTTAAATCCATCCTCATAAAAATTATAATCACCAGGAGACATAAAAAGTGAACTTACGATCAGGGCCATGTTCAACTGTGGCACCCCAGCCAACAGCAGTGCAAATTGTACCAGCATGTGGACCCCAACCTGTCGGTGGTAGACACACAGGACGCACCCAACGGTTAAATCGAAGGGGATGCTTCAGTTTCATTAATGCCAAGTCATTTCTCATATCAGAGCGATCATATTGGTCATGTAACACAATATGCAAAACAGCTTGTGTTTGCTCTGCCGGTGAGAATGAAAAGCGCCTCAGCATCCCTGCCTGCACCTCAAAATAATGATTTCTGAAGCTGCAACACATGAAAATTATTAAAAATTATCATCCTGTTTTAAGTAGTCTAATGTGAGAACTGTTAAGAAGTACACTGAATAAAAACACATACTGGTATTCTGAAGAAATATGCTCAAAAATTTTCTTTTATTACTGAGGGGCACAACGTTTTATAACAATAAAAAGGAAAAACTTGTTCTTGTCTGTGCGCGTGCGTGTGTGTGTGTGTGTGTGTGTGCATGTGCATGTGTGAGCATTGTGTGTTTCAGCAAAAAACTGTAAGAGGCACAGTGAATAAAAACAAATATACTGGTATTCTGAATAAATTCCCTCAAATTTTTTCTTTAATTAGGGCTAGACACCATGTCTTACAGCTAACAAAAAGGCGAAATTATTTCATCTGTGTGTGTGTGTGTGTGTGTGTGTGTATGAGCACGTGTGGACACATGCGTGTGGCAAATAAATACTGAGAAGCATTTTATGAATTTAATCTTCTCTTAATTTTCAGGGAATCTGTTTCTATTTGTTCTTTTGCTCCTAGATGCAAGGCACTTAAATTCTGAATCATCGTAAAATATTTTTTTTTTAGATATTTTGGTCTATTACGTATTTGTTTATTCAAGTTTTGTCAATATCTCTACCAAGATCAGTTGTTTTATTATCTTGCAGAGGATATTTTTCTTCGTGGAATTTATGTTTTCTCTTAATAACAACATTTCAAAATCATATGTAATTTTCTGATTTACATCTGATCTGAAGTATCTGCTTCAGATCAAATATGAAACTCCTGCTTTTCTTAGACTTCCACCAAGACATATTGTGGACATAAATAAAAATATCATCAAGAAAATATCTTTCTGATACAGCTTACTGTGAACTGAAAATGACCAGAGATGTTCACATCCAAAAGTTTCAAGCATATACATTTCAGCTGACTTACCAAGCTTTCTTGGCATTACAAATTTTCTAATTTCTTCCTAAATCACAAAGGTGTATGAGGATATACTTATGATAGTAAGAATTAAGGTATAGAAGTACAAAATGTTATATTGCATTTGCTTACCCATCAACACAATGAGCAGCTGTCATAACCCAAGTTTCATCAAGCAAAACTCCACCACAATGGAAATCTCCATCTCTGTATAGGGCCACAACCCATGGCCATGCCGCAGGCTGGCTTGCCTGACCTCCCACAACACGACCTCCTTCTTCTCTAATTGGGCGTTTTTTATTAAGGGTGTCTTCTCCAAATGACACAACATCAGATAGTATGTTCATATTCCTTGCACTGTCCCTTTCTCTTTCATATGACCCAAAGTCTTTAAAAGCCATAGTCTGGTGTATTCCTTCATTAGTAGATCTGACATGTCTTTCTGATAATTTCTCCAAATTCACAGAATTTCTTGTAGTAGCTTCATTGCTTGCTGGTATTTTCAAGTCAAGCTTCAGTAATTCACTACCATCATATTTATTCTCATATGACATGTGCTGTACTGATTCAACATCTTCAGATACGTTTGCCTTGGATGTAACATTTTTCACCTGGAAAGTGTTTGATGGCAATGTGGAATATAAAGAATTTTGAAAGAAGTGTACATTATTGAAGAGAGTACCGTAATTGTGTCTTTTGAATCTTGTAAGATATGATTCCCTCTCCTCAATTGTGCTTTCTTGGGTTTCAAGTTGAAGAATGCGTGTACCACACAGCATACTAGGGCAAGTTACATGCACTACTTGGTGTCCAGCACAACTGTCAACCAATCTGAATTCACCATCTCTATCCACGATTAAGAATGGACCCAAATAATCAGAAGTTTGTCGTTTCTGCTTAATTACTGGATCACTGTAATTAAAGAACATGCTAATTAGAAAACTATCATATTCTGAAAATCTGAATTAGTTAATCCCTTCAAGATCTTATCTAAGTTTCCATAACTCTTCAGTATCCTAATTTAATCACAGATTACCATATTAATTATTTCTAATCATGCAAGAGTCAATAACGGGAAAACGCCAGTGTTATAAACAGGGCCCAGATTTTGCTGACCTGAAAATATTTAAAAAATGACATATAAAATTATTGAAAAAATCTGGAAAAATGACCTAAAATATGATCCAAAAAATGTAATATGCAGGGCCCGGATTTTGATGACCTGAAAATATTAAAAAAATGACCTATAAAATGACCGAAAAAATCCAGAAAAATGACCTAAAGGAGAAAAGAAAAAACACTTCGCTTCCATGTTATTCACATTCCAAAAACATATGAAGAAAAATTCCCTAAAATGGCCAAAAATGACAAGAAATACCCTTAAAAGTCCAGAAATTTACCGAAAAATTACCCCAAACATGAGAAAGACCTTAAATCTAAATATGACAAAAAATTACCTATAAAATTTACATTTCTGTAACCAGCAGCTGATATCCGGGATTTATATATTTAAGAGCATCGCATAGGATACAAGGAAAAAAAGATGACATGTCATCAAAATCCAGGCCCTGGTTATAACACAAGTAACAACTAAAATAATACTGTGGGAACATCCCACATTATCACGCATTTTCTGCAACGCACATTCTTCACATCACTTTGCACCATCACGCGCGCTAACCAATCAAATTGCTTCAAACGTTCGCATTTATACTGCGCTCGCTGCTAGCCCCGCATCTACATCATCACGCGCGCTAGCCAATCAGCGCCCTGCAAATTCTTCCTCCTCAATTTCAAGTTTCGCTCCGCCCACCGAGCAGTGTATAAAAAGGAGCAAACCGGCATCATCAGTCTGACTTCAGTCTATGATCAAGCCACACTCATGCAACATCAGCCAGCAGGCTTCGTCGCCAGCGCTCGGTCTTTGGAGGCATCGGCAGGCTGCGCCAGGCACGACTGCCTCGGCCCTCCGGCTCTCTCACACCCAACTCACTGGGGCACCTTGCCTGGACTCGCTGGTGGTCGTGTCCCTGTCCGACCCACTGGGCATCTGGCGTAGCCACTGCCTTATCACTCCTAAGACCGCGCTCAAAGACTAGCCTTTCACAAGCAGCCTACGACCGCGCTGCGTTAGCCACGCAACTCCAACTCACCTGCCGCACGGCGACCAAGCAACCTCCAGCAACGGCCGCACTGCGGCCAGTCCACTCACCGCAACTAACCTTTCTCCCTACCGGCGCGCGCCGCGCTACCTCACCGATCAAGCATCTCAGCAACCACGGCCCTTTTCAGGACCAACAAACTGTTCCGAAGAAGTGGGTTGTCATCGGAGTAATGACGAACAACAAAGGCAAAACCCCACAATACCATAAACAATATTAAGACAATGAAGTTCATAAATTAAATTATATACAAGGTGCCATGTGATATAATGGTCAAATTTCAGGGGCATAGTCTACAGGTCATTTGGATCACAAAAATATCCTATAAATAACAGTTCAGTTCATTACCATTATTGAGTTAAGCATTAGAGCAGTGTGGCACATTAGCACCACTATTAATATATTTGAATGGTGCAATTGTTTTCTATTAGAAAAACATGTCAGTCACATATTTCTCACATTTAAACCTAAGGTATTATGCTGATATGCAATCTGTACAAAGATTTCATGATGGAAAACGTAGGGCTGCCATTGCAAAATATCAGTAGCACATTCAAAATCATAAGAGTTCCACAGCACAATCTGCTGCAAATCTTGTTGTAGAAAATAACTAAATTACTACAGTTGAAAACAGTTTAGTTTGTAAACCCTTAGCTTGGCATCAAAACAAGTTCAAAGGAAAACTGATTTTGTATTCAGTACTCAACTACACATGTGTTTAACTTTGTAATGGTGATGAACTAAACTATTTTAATAAAATTTTATGCTTCAAATGATGTGCAGAATATGCTCATGAAGTTTGGTTAATACTTACTGAGACACCCTGAAGAAGTGGAAGCATTTGCATGTAAAACCCACTCTTTTCAACATGTATATTAATGATGCCCCCCAAACTCATGGTATTCATTTGGCCCTCTTTGCGGATGACACCTGTCTATATGTGACAGATCGCAAAGAGGGTTTTATTGTTAGGAAACTCCAGCGCGGTCTCAGCTCAATGGAGACCTGGTGTGAGCGCTGGAATATAAAAATTAATGAAGATAAGACTCGGGGGGGTCTACTTCTCTCGTGGTCGTCGACTGCCTGAG